AATTCCAGTTTGGTAAGAACTCATCCATTGAAACTATAGGTTTACAACCCATCAGCTTTTAGTCGGAACATGTATAACGTAATACCAACAAATACCTTTTTCTATGGGCAAAGTTAGCTAGTTTAGGAGTAACTTTAACTAAAAGGTAGAGACTGTCAAACCAAAACTTGACATCAGTCCATGGAATTACGGACTATTGATCTGAGTCACCTAGCTGGGATACAAGAGATTGGTGGTTCGAGACGTTACATGATATGACTCAGAATCGGTCTCAATGAAGTAGATTCATTCATTCGTTATATTCCAATAAACCTTAATTTACAGTATTCTCTCATACTCTTAAGTTACTAGTATTTGACCACAAATGCCTTAGAAATATTGCTCGCATCTGAGGGGATCACCGAGTAAGTAATAGTGAAGTTAAACACAGGGTATTAGGAAATGATGGTAAATCAGTTGATGAGGTCATGAATCTTCATCGACTGAGATGGTTGGGCCATGTGTTACGTATGCATGAACACCGATTACCACGACGCGCAATGCTGACTGGTATTGGAGATGGTTGGAATGGTTGAAGATCAGGGGCGGTCAAACCAAAAAGTGGCATCAGTTTTTGAAGTCACTAACTTCTAGTCTGAGCCATGTTAATAGGTGCAGACTATTTGGTTGGGGTCCGCGCGACCATCGTAACCAATGGTTCGAGACTCTAGGTGACATGGCTCGGAATCTATCACAATGGCGCAAGTGTACACACTCTTTATCTTTCCTTAAACCTTGAGATTAGAATTGCTTCATATCTGTCTTCCTCCCTGTACTATATACTTATATACAACCTTTCTTTATATACTACCACCACTAAATTTACTAAACCTATAAATTTGGTGTTCATCTTGTAGTGCTATTGAGATATACCAACTTGGACCGATGCATATGTGTGCTTGGTCCTACGTTGTAGCTGACTGACTGACTTGTTAATTTCATCTCATCGTATTAAAGTGATATAGTTTTAATTAAAGCACATTTTTATTAAACTATACATTGATTATAACTGACTAACTGTATATTTCATTGGATATGTCTTTATTTTATCCACCTTTTATAGATTTATATTTTAAATATTGAACCAAATTATCTGTTACTTTTGTAGTAACTCTACCATATGAACTTAATAAATGTTACTGCTTTCTCATAAAATAGAAATGTGGATAAAATACAAAATTGTACGCATGAATTATAATGTTACTTTTACTAATTTGCCTTGTTAAACTAATTAAAAACTATTATGTTACACCCATATATTGTTCATAGGATACGCAAATGATATATATATATATATATATATATATATAAAGCCTTTCTTTTTAGGAAAACAAAATTGATAAACAAATCGATACTATTTGTCGATAATCAATAAACGGAAAAGTAAACGTACAATTAAAAAGGTAAACTAGAAAAGTCAAATATTTTAAGAGTAAACATTTCATAATATATATATCGAATTTCTTATTATTACTATCTCATAATTGAAGCATGTATCGCAGAGAGTTTGTCATAATAAGTTTGCAAAATAGTTGTTTGTAAGAGATAAGTAAACATTTTTAAAATACTTAAGAAATAGTTAATTGATATTGTAACAAAACGTTAGATGGTTTGAGATAGTTAGTAGAAAACTTTAGGCCTAAGTATAGCAATAATTATCATCCTTTAACAAGAATTACTTTTAAGTTCACTTAGTATTGTTTGTTTGAATCTTCCCATTGATGTTTAGGAATGCAACTGGTCAGTCTCTAATTTGTATATGTACATACTGTGTATGGATAAGGCGATGGCGTTTGAAACGAAAGGTACTGGGTTCGAGTCCCAGAGTGAACATCAACTCTGAGATGCAGGTACATCCAGTTGACGAGTCCCAAATAGGACGAAATGCGCGTCCTGGATTCCACTGCTAGCCACTTTCCATCTTTGCTTATAAGAAGTACCTTTGTTCTTGATGATAACAGTTCTCTTAAAGGGATTCGAACTTGCATCACTTAGTATTACAGTATAAGATATTAACATTGAGAATTCGGGGTCAAGATTGACCTCGTGGTAAGAAATTCATCGTGTCATTTTACAGCCCAAAAACTTATCCAGAATCTTTTAAATGTACGTATTATTAGAAGTATAACATAATTCCAGTTTTTCCCATTGATAACTTTGAAGAAAGCAAGAATAATAAGTATAGCAGAATAAGTTGAATTCATTTATTTCATGAATTCTCGCCACCAACTTACAACCTAGATATAATAGTAATAACTATCAATGTACATACTTTATGTTATATTGGTGAAAATCAGTAGAATAATAAAGGCAGGCGTGAAAGTATCATAGAGTGAACGCTGTGTTGATATTTTAAAAGCGTTCAAAGTAATCAATATCCAAACAACTTCAAATCTATTATGTTACACCGAAGTCATAATAGTCAAAAAGTTCAAATCAAACTTATATATCTAGAAGGATAGAGTTGTAAATCTTTCATTACCGTAGTTCTTTTTTATTTTCATTATCTAGCTACGTAATTTCCTATTTCATATCACAGTATCAAATTCCTTTTTTCTTCTTTTTGAGTTTCACTCATCTTACTCTGTTATTCTAACAAATTTCATGATTATTATTGTGTAAATTCAATATTCATACTCTAGAAACATGTTTCCATGTGCTTTAAAATTTTTCATTCATAATTTTCACACTTAATAACATAAATATTCATCTATTTTTAGCACTTTATATTACACTTATACTTTTCATTATTTCTCTACTAATCTTCACTAATATGGTATAAAGTATGCACACTCATCATAGTTATTATTATTGTTTCTAGATTGTTTCTGATGTATCCAAAGTATGACATCTAATTTAAATGATTAAATAGGTTGATAACGTATAGAACATTGAACACTTAAAAATAACAATAACATCAAATAGTTTTGTAAAAAAGAAAGGTATACTAAGATCATCAATCTCATGACAAATTGTTTTAAAACAAATTACTTATGCATCACGTAGTACAATCGGTTTAAGAAATGGAAATAAACGAAGTGAAAAACTTATACATAAACCCTTAGAAGTATAAAAAGCACACCCAAATGAGTATATTTCTTCTTTTTTCCCTCTACAATACAAGTCAATCTTTTGTTAAATATTTAGGGACATTATGTGAAGAAGTGATGGAACAAAGGATAGGAATTCATTTAAATGATTTGTAGAGATTTAATCAGTAAAAAGATAAGATGCATGAGCCATTAAAATCATAACTAAACCAAATTGAAACATGAATTTTTTGAAACTGTCAACCATCAGACTGGGTAAATTACCATATGGTAATGTGTTTAAAATAGGAAATGAAAGGCTAAGTATGAACCTATACACAGTTATTGATAAATACCTGGTCATTAGTTATATTGTGGAATTAAACTTATATTTATTTGATAGTATTTTGTGGTGGAAATTGTCTTTGAAAATAAGTTATCCAGTACATGCAGAATAAGTCACTACTAGACACTAAACGCTTCAAAAATAAGATGTAGTAGGGTTAACAATACTACATATTTACCAGAATCGTAGTTGATGCAACACAATTTGAATCTCAGAACTTATTCTATGATTATGAAGTGACTTAGTAGTTATATTCTCAGCAGCCAATCAGAATCAAGAAATTCCTTTTATTTAATGTGACAATCAAAAATAAATATACATATCTTATGATTGAAACCATGAGTCAGTGGAAGCTAGACCACCATATATCTTACATTATATGGAAAACACAATAGAAATATTTCAATTTACTTTGCTATATATAAACTCTATGTTCCTATGGTGTTAAAAGCGAAAAATAGATAATAAGCCCTGAACATCTAATGAGCTTCCTAAAATCATTAGACTGTAACCGGCTCCATTGTTTCTGTTGAGAAATACATTTGATTTATAAATGCTCTGTTCATTAATTGAAAAAAATGACTTTATACTTTCAAAGTCACTTTAATACCACTGTTGATTTATTTCTGTATCATAGTTACATAGATTTCAACCAATGAATCTCACGTTTCAAATCACACTTTCCTCCCACTCCTACTAAGGAAACTGAGTATAATTACATTAACCCTAACAAAAAAGATTAACTAAACAATTTTCCTGTACTCATCATTGATTAAGTCTTTACATTCAATTCCGATTTTAAAAGTCAATAAGTTAGTCATGCTTAAAGCATACACATTTAATGATATAAAGGTTAAATACATTAAAGATCATAATAACATCCCAATCACAGAAAAGGCATTGATCAATCATATCTAACTCATTATTTTTATCATATACTGAAATCTTTGAAATCAGTGAAAATTACTTTGAAGTTAATGATTCATTTGCCAGTTTCTTTCCTACAATAATTTAGGACTAACATTTCATCTCGTTTTGAGTTTATAAAGGGGAATATATTCTCTTTTTGGTCAGTGTTAGCGTTCCCATTGATAAATAGTTTATTCAATTAAAGTAATTGAATATATTACTGAGAATATATAAATCGCAACTGCTGTATGATTTTGTAATGATTCGAAAACTATTCATCATTCACTAACATTACTTTCATATATTTGTGCATTTTGAGAATGAATCAAAGTAGCACGATAAGCAGCTTTTTCGAATGAGTCACTTTCTTAATTATTTTTTTTGAGGGGGTTTTCTGTGGAGATTTTCAGTAATTTTTATATATACTTGAAATAATGAGTCAATTGAAGCTAAACCATCTTAGAAAATCTGAAAGCACTGGACGGCCGTCTCGTCCTATTGTGGGACTCCTCAGCAGTGCGCATCCACGATCCCGCCTCATGAGATTCGAACCCAGGACCTACCAGCTTCGTGCCAAAGCACTTGATCGATAGTTTGTGTCTATCTTAAACCTCAAAATATATCAATAACGTTAAAATTGTTTATGATAAAAATGAATGAAATATTTGTTCCCTTACCTGTAAACATGTTCTTGGTAATGATGGTAGCTCAACTGGAAGTAATGTAGTAGCACCATATATAATCATTCCCCATATAAAATTAATAGCAATTAATAAAGGAGTTGCAATAGCATAATTATTGTAAATAAATTTCATAATATTTTTAAATGTAGGAGTTGCATTTGCATGATTCTGTTTTTCGTCAACAATTGATAGATAATTAGATAAACTACAATGTTTTGATGAATATGTATTTTCCTTATCTATAATATTAGGAATACGAACATTACATTTTGCTATTTTGTCTAAGACTTTAGCTGATTCTTCATAATTTCCCCATTGGGCTAAAATGACAGGCGATTCTTGAATACAGTAGGTCAGACCAAGTGCACACAATATAAGAGGTGCTGTTGTGAAAAGTATAAAAAATCTCCAACTAAGTTTTGATGTCGAACAACCAAGGCCAACACCAGTTACATATAGAGCAATAAATGAATCGAAAAAACAAACAAGCAGTTGACCAGTAGGCTGGTAGCTTTCTGGGAGTACTTCTGATATCATCGAGCAACCAGCAGTCAGTAGACCACCAATGTACAAACCTGAGATAAAACGTAAAACTGCAAGCCATATGTAAGTGGGTGAAATAGCACATAACCATGTCATGTAGATTAGAGCAAGACAACATAAAATATTAAGATCTTTGCGTCCGAGCCTATCTGAAAGATACCCGATAGGCGGGGAACCAATACATATACCCAAAAACACAAGGGTAGTAAGAAGAGCAACATAATCCGAACTCATATTCCATTCACAGCGTAATGTTGGTCCGAGAATTGCTTGAATTAAAGTTTCCATAGTGTCAGTAGCTTGAGCCATACCAATAATTATGATGACGCGAACCTGATACCAGCCAAACCCTAGTTGGTCCAGAACAGTCTGAACTCCAGAACGTTTGACAGCGTTCTCCGACTCCATTTATTGTACGAAAATGAATTTCACAGACAACTACAGAATATCGTGAATACAAACGATACATTTCGATTAACCAATCAGTTAGTTACAAACTCAAGGACAGGTAATTACTAAAGTATGCTATGGTTGGCTCGTACTCTGAAGCCCATTAGTGTATAATAATTTTAAAATTACGCAATATTAATTTATCTTATGAAATGAATGAGTACGACAATGTTCAGAAAAAATTAAAGCAGCATTGGACATCGAATTTGTTTGCCTTTATACTTTTGTTAATACGCATCTAACGTGTCATTTCGGTCAAACGTAGATGGCGGTGAAATGGTAAATGTGTCTAGACTAGCCCTTGTGTTTGGGCTTTGTGGACTTGTACACTCTGCTTTCTCAGCTGCACAGCGTAAACTCCTAATAATTTAAACAATCATACCTTATTTAACTAATATAGATCGTTCATATATTCGTCTAACTGATCAGGAGTACATCTCACTACCGGCAGATGTAATCTAATCAGTTTCGTGTTATTAATTACAACCTGTGTAGATTATTGTCCAGATATTTCTCTCCTTCATTGCTGTGTGCATAGGAGTTGTCGGTCTATCTGGGACTTTAAAGGAAATAGAAGCCGCCTCAGAATTTAGAGAAAAGTATGTCAAAATACATATCTAAAGTGTTTTTAAGAACTTGGGATTCACTTGGGAATCATCCATCCTTCTATACCTTCCATCACCGCAAACTCCCTTGTTTGTCACAAACTACTCACTAGTGTTTTGTGTTCTTAGTGCAGTCTGATGACCCCTAATCCTCTTGCTTCTGCTGTAGGACACACAGATTCAGTGACAGCATTGTCACTCTCTGATAATCTTTTAGCTTCTGGAGGAGAGGACGGAAATACATACCTCTGGTCTTTGGATCAAAGTCAATTTCCCGTTCTCTGTGCCCCAAGATTAGATCACTGTTCTAGTCTCAAGTTTAGTGCGGCAAGATCGCATATTCTGTACAGCGCATATGGTCAGCAAATCGTCTTATGGGATATTCGTCGTATGACTGAGCCGGTTGTTACTTGGGAGGTAAGTTAAGTTTTTTGTAGCTGTACCTAACCATTTCACTCTAGGTTAATGATGATGAAATCAACTCAATTGACTTTTCTGGAGATGAGCATCGTCTTTCGTCTGCAGATGATTCTGGAGCTGTTCAAATTATTGACGTGAATAATGGCCAGGTTACGCGTACTCTTAAGAAACATGATAACATATGTTCTTCAGCTAAATTTCGTCCTGGCCGAACATGGCAATTGATTAGTGGTGGCCTTGATTGCAGAGTTATTGTCTCTGACTGGAAAGGCTCTGGTCTCGGTGTAATCATTTTTGAAATGGATGAAATCGTTGAAAGTCCTGAAGAGTTCTTACAGTCCTTGCCAACTGGATCAAGCACAAGTAGTAATGACAATGTGGAAATCGACTATGATAATTCAGATGACACAGACTTCGGAGCTACTTATGCAGCTGGACATTCTCAAATTATCGCTGATAATAGTTCCTTAAGTCCATCCTCTGGGATTGGTTCTGAGTCCAGAAGCGAGCACTCTGTTTTGAGTGATGATGAGCACTTCAGAATTACTAGCGACCATTCGTATTCGCGAAGCCGTCACACAGAACGACATGTAAGTCATACCCTGTCTTTTCACGAGTTAATATCGTAATAACTAGCAGTCAACGGCCGTAAATTTCTCTTTGATGACATTTTGGTACTCACATGTATATCGATACGTTGTGCCTTATGTGCTATTACTCAATAGTTGTTCGCTCTTATTCTATATACTCGTCCTGACGACTGGATGATGGTTAACTTAGTACAAAAATGATGACAAATAGTATGAGTATATTTTGGATTGTTTAAGAATAAAACGGTTGCACTATGGTTGAAGACCACCTTTGTCATCAGTCCTACTGTTTAGAGTTGAAAGATTTGCTAAACCACTGAGCTACATCTTGTGTCACTGATTAGTATTGTCCTTATTTCACCCTCTCGCTCCTTCAGAAGATCCATGACTAGTAAGTTTCCTGATCAAATGTTTAACGTTAGCCTGGTAGTCTGTAATTGCTTCTTTGTGAGATGTTACTGTTTGAATAAATACAATCAATCACTTTGACGTATATGTGTATAGGGTTGCTATTACAGCATAACCTGTTCAGATTGCTACTCTTTAAACTTAAAATTAATTTATTACAAAACTAACCAGGTTTTAATATGCTTTTACCCACTTTTAAGGAGCATGGCAACCAATAGTCGTATCTTCTAACATCAGCATTACTTCTGATTCCTTAAAATCATCTACCTAGAAGAAATTTTCTCATTTATAAATGATGATACTCTCATTGAATCAGCATCCTTAAGTAAAGGATGGACCTCCAGTCAAATAATAATCAGCGTAGAACCTAACAAAAATGTACGTTAACTGAAATACAGCTCCTATTTTCTTATAAAGCAGATGGGAAAATTATCGAAAAACTATGTATCTTTTCTAAGTCATAAGGTTAAGTTTCTATATCAAAAGATATCTGCAACTTATCCGTCATAAACTGGCTCGCCTTATATCAGTTGAGATACAGACATCAGGCAACTTTTAATGTAATTGTCTTACTGTGTACAGGTACTTGGATTTAAGCCATACTTTGAATAGGAGATGGTGATACTACATGTCTTCCCGGTTTTAGGTCGAGTCATTTAACCAAAAAACCACCTCCTCAGCTTTCAAATGTGTCTATAAGTGTCTCTATTTACTTTAAATGTGTGGGTTAATCACCTGTCTCACAAAACCCGGACAGTTTTCCTTGATATCTGTTCACACTTATCCACTACTACTAATCGACCGTGTTTTTTATTTTCCTACGACCTTTGAATCTATACAATCACTTATCAATTTGACGTTGTTCAAATAGTTACTCTTATCGAAAATGTATAACTACAAGTTAACATCATTTCTCGACTTTAAAAATGATTCGAAAAAGCTACGTGTATCTTTTTAGCAAATCATCCAAATTAATTGATAAATTAATTCGTAGTGATATCCTGTTTCTCCTAAAGTCATCTTATCAGTATGCTTCTAATATTTTAGGGAGTGGAAACTCATTTAATGACATTTCAGTGTAGATAATTATATTAATTGTTGATCTAGTTGTTAGAAGGGGCAACTGCCTCGTGAAATCCAAAGATTCTCAGCTTTCACTATAAGGCGTCATAATTCTAAATGAAGATCCTTCAACTTCTGGGAAAGTTTAAATGGTTTAAACTGTTTCTTATGGCTAGCATTTCTTAAGAAAGATTATTTTCTGCTGGATGGGGTTGCTGACCCCATACTCAACCCTCCCTTACCGAAGCTTGGAACCTGCAGTAACCCTACAAAAGCAACAGGATAATCTGATGCAGATGGGAAGGCAAGGATTTGCAGAACAGAAACTGTGTTCCTACAGTTGAAAATAATATGGAACTCAAAACAACTGTCGGCCAACATCAAAGTCAGCATCTTCAATACGAACGTCAAAACAGTCCTACTGTACAAAGCTGAAACTTGAAGAACTAACACACCCATCATCAAAAAGTACAAGTATTTCTAAACAGTTGTCTGCTCAGGATACTCAACGTCCACCGACCGGATACCGTCAGCAACAAACTACTGTGAAAGAAAACAAACCAGCTTCCAACTGAGGAGGAAACTAGGAAATGACGCAAGTATTAGACAGGACACACATTGAGGAAATCCTCAAACTGCATCACGACACTAGCACCAATTTGGGGTCCTGAAAGGAAACAAAAAAGAGAAAAGCCAAAAAGCACTGTGTCGGGAATTGAAAGCAGACATGGAAAGGATGAATAACCATCGCAAACAACGGAAAAGGATTGCCTAGGACATTATTGAATAGAGAATGCTGGTGGGCGGCCTATGCTACTCCACAAGGGGTAACAGGCGTAAGTAAGTGTTGGTAACTAGAATTTAGGCTCATTAGACCTCCTCCTTGTTGTTTTTGATACCCTGGATTTGCGAGGTTTTAAATCTGAATGGCTATTTAGCAAGCCGAAGACGGTTGCTTTATTGTTCCATTCAAGCAGTGGGATTGGGCGGGGTTGCCCAATCTCACTATTCCCCCTCAACTTTTCTATCAACGACGTTTTGAAAACAGTTCTGATGTAATGGTAGTGTGGATCTGTCGCCTGATGCAACAGTGGCTAGAGACGTTATCAGACATGGTTCAGAATAAAAACCAGTGGCAATCCTGCTCTAATTTCCTTTTACTTCCTTCATAAAAGTGGACGTAGCTTTTCTGACAAGAGAGAATTCTTTCCGGTTACATTTTCGCTAACTGCTCCCATTGTTATTTATTATTATTACTTAGCTCTCATATACTGATTTCTGTTCATTGTCACCTCTATTTTTATTCAAATCACAATTCTCTATCTCTTCACAACCTCATTGTTATTGTGTGGCGCATATGTATTTTTTATTTATTTAAACGCATAAATATTGGTACAAGGAAGCACCAGATACATATGCGCCATACAAATCTCATTCGATTTGCTTGAGGGCTGTGATACTGCCCAGGTGCCCGAACTAAAGCAGGTGGTTTTCTTAGGGGGCCACACCCGGAGCCTTTGACCTAAAGGTCTGATCCACAAGGCAGTGGAGCATCGTGAGGAGATGCAGTCTGATGGTAGCCGGTGATCAACGATTGATTCATACGCCATTTGTTCCCTCAGGATACTGGAGCCCATGTGCACCATTGGTTTGGAATCAGGGTTTTCCAACTCCCCTAGGTGGATCCTCCACATCCACCAACCCGGTTAAAGCGCCAAACATTCGCTCTTCGTCCTCTCACTTTTGTGAACAACACACGTGGCATGAGAAGGCAGTGAGTAGGACTTCCCTGTCAGAGGCTATATATTCGCTGGCCATGTGAGAGCGTTTCGAGAGGTAGAGGTGACTTTCCCCACTCTCGGCCGTACCAGAGCATTTGGGGGAAATTGTTAGTATTATTGCCTTTCTGTACCTCCATGTTATGTCTAGTATAAATTTCTAATTATTCCGTTTCCTATCAGCTTACTATTGATAATATTTCCAGTGTGTGGATATTTCACCAGTCAACTATTGTTTTACAGGAGCAACCACATGTTTCAGATCAACGCATATCATCAAATCATGTAACTTGGAGATCTGGATTGCCAATTAATCCTCCAATGGTTCACTCTGTTGCCTGTTCAGCGTCTGGAGATTTTGTGGCTGCTGGACTTGAAAGTAGCACTATCGAACTATTCGCGGGTGATGGCAAGCGTTTGAACCATTTAGAGTCACTCTATGGTCACACGCGTGGGGTATCGGCTCTTCATTTCATTGATGTAAGCGTGAATTTTGTGTTTTCTATCTATTCAAGTCCTCATCGTAATTTAACGTTTAATTTCATAATAACGGATAAATGATTTTACGGTAGTATTGGCATACCTTTTCATAACAAGTACAGCTCTAAGTGATTATCGGTAGTGCCACATTTTTGTTACCATTTTCGATAAATATAACGAGCTCCTCTATATAGAATAACTTAGCAGTAATCCTATGTGTCATGTTTTTTTAATGGAGATTTTAATTAAACTGATTATATTGGTATTGCATTAAACTTATGTATTTTTAGATGTTTTTGATCGTAGAATTCATGTTAATTTCTAAAAGAATATTTTTGGAAACTAAATAGGTTTGTAGCCACTTCACACTACCAATTTTTTAATTTAAATGAGCAGTACATCTGATTACGTATAATCGTGTACCGCTAAATTCGTTTACCACTATTAAATTCTTCAATAAGAAACCAAATATATCGGAGATAAAATGATTTATAAGCTGAGTATTCATATTTATTCCAAACGTACATCATTTGTTCAGTAAATCTGCAAAGTGGCTGTTGTTTCTGGTGAAGTTTCTAAAACGGCCTGTGGAGAATAAGATTGACCTCCCCTAGACCGTTTAACATAACCTTGCTATAATCATCTGTGCTGTGTTCACAGACAGTACTTTTGATTAGATAAGTGCTAGAATGGTTATAATTAATAAATATTAAACTTAGTATTCAAAGAGATAAACATCCTAAACCCTGACTGAGAATTGTAAAACGGAGCCTTCAACGGACTAATTAAACAGTCATTTCAAAATTCTAAACATCGTAGCGCGGCTGAGTCACTTAGTTAAAGCACTTAATCGTGAGAATGGAAGTTATCTATGTTATGTTGTATTCGCTTTCAATCTTTAAGGATTCATTCTTAATCAGTGGTGGCAATGATCAAAATATATTCATCTGGACACTAGGATCAGAAGTTACAGGTTACAATGTATTCCATGGCGAAAAAGTTAGTGCTTTTGAAGGGACACATCTTGATCGTATCATAGTTGCGGATTTTTCTCCTGTTATCCAAGTACGTCTTGTTTTATTTATATTATTTATAATATTGATACTTTAACACTCAGGATGCAATAGCAAATATATCCCTGACTAAATTTCTGTGAATTTAAGGTTGTGCATTTAACTTCTGTCAGTCAGGTCAGTCAGTCAGTCACAACGTAGAACTTCGTACGTACGTACATCAGTTCGAGTTGCCATACCACATTAGCACACAGATGCAGTTGTCGATTCAAATCCCATAGTGGAAGAATTAGTAAGAGTATAAGCAGTAATCGGAAAGATTAGAGTTTGAAGATGTTATTGAAGGAGTATAGTACAGTGAAATATATTTGGAAGGAGAAAAACATAAAGACATGAGAAATTCAGAAGATTAGAATTTGGTAGAACACAAAGAGTGGATGCATCTTCGCCATTGCAAACGATTTTGAGCCATGTCATTCAAGGTCTCTAACCATCGGTTGCTATCATCTCGCGAATCCCAACCAGGTAGTCTACACTTACCAACATGGCCCAGTCCACTTGTCAGTGACTTCATTGATTTGTGCCACGTTTTGGTCTGGCCACCCCTAGCTTTCTTCCAACCTACTCCTACACCATGAAACATTGCACGTCGGGGCAGTCGGTGGTCGGGCATACGTAACACATGTCCCAGCCATCTCAACTGATGAAGTTTCACTACTTCATCAATCGATTTGCCATCCCTACCTAGTACTCGCTTCCTAACAACTGCATTACTTACCCGGTGGTCCCAGGATATACGAGCAATGCTTCGAAGACACCTATGATCGAACACTAGTAGCCTACGAATATCCTCTACTCTTACCGGCCATGTTTCACTTCCATAAAGTAGGACGGAACGAACTGCTGCACAGTAAACCCGTCCTTTGGTTGCTAGACGGATATCTCGCCTACGCCACAAATGATGCAAGTTGGCAAAAGCTAGACGAGCCTTCTGTATCCGTGCTGAGATTTCGTCAAACACCAGACCACAAGGGCTGATGAGACTCCCAAGATAAGTGAAGTGGTCTACACGCTCAACTACTTCACTCCCTATCATTAGTTCAGGTGTCGCTGCAACCCAATCCTGAAGTAACATTTTGCACTTCGAGGGAGAGAATCGCATCCCGAACATGCCTGCATTGTTGCTTATGGTGGTCAGAAGACTCTGCATTTTGTCAGCGTCTTCACCGAGTAAAACTATGTCGTCGGCGTATTCTAAGTCAACAAGTGAGCCTCCCGGTAAGAGTTCAACTCCTGGAGGCTTAGCTGATGAAAGTGCTGTCTCTAAAAGTATGTCAATGACAAAGTTAAACAAGAATGGGGAGAGTGGACAGCCCTGACGAACTCCACTTGTGGTAATCAGTTCTGATGACAGTTCGCCATAGGCTCTAACTCGACCAGTTGTGTTCGAGTAGAGAGCCTTTATGAGGTTAATGTACTTCTTTGGTACTCCTTTCAGTGACAAACATTGCCATAGAACCTCACGATCAACAGAGTCAAATGCCGCCTTAAGGTCAAGAAATACTACTATTGTGGGACGTCTGAATTTGTGTCTATGTTCTAGAACCTGACGTAGGGTGAATATCTGGTCTATGCAACCACGTCCAGGTCGAAAACCAGCCTGGTTTTCTCTAGTCTGCTCTTCACGAGCTTTGGTTAGGCGACCTAGTATTATTGAAGCTAATATTTTAGACACTATATTAGTCAAACTGATCCCTCTGTGATTGTCACAGGAGGACTTTTGTCCTTTCTTATAGACTGGCACAATCAGTGATTGGGACCAGTCAGATGGAATTACGTCCAGTTCCCAGATTCTACCTAAGACCTCAGTCAATCTCACTGCTAGTACTGGACCACCATCCTTAAAAATCTCAGGGATCAACCTGTCAGGGCCTGCTGCTCTCCCTCGCTTCAGATTTCCTATAGCTTTTTCAACCTCACAGAGGGTTGGAGGACTTACGTCAATTTGCCATTCAGGACGACTGGGGATCGTGGGTAATTGAAGCGTGGCTGAAGGCCAGTTGAACTGATCCCTAAAGTGTTCTGCCCATCGATCCAATCTCCTGGATTGAGAATGAATAATATGCCCATCTCTATCTGAGATGGTTTCACTGATATTCGGGTTCCTAATGCCGGTTTCTTTAACGAGTCTGAATAGCTGCCTACTGTTACCTATTGCCGCTGCCTTTTCCATCTCTCTTGCTTTCCCTACCCACCACTGTTCACGATCATTACGTAGGCTTCTTATAAGCCTGCGCTTAAGTTGACTCCGCTCTTCGTTATGCTCAGAGCCAGGTGGGATGAGTTTACGAGCATCTATCAGTGCGGAAGATGCTGCCGAGATCCATTGTTTCTCCCTAACGTTATGGTTTACCTTACTAGCGGACATCACTGCTGTTTCTACAGCTTTTCGGATGTCATTCCACGCTGCCTCGGGGTGGGCATAACTTACATGTTTGTCTAACTGTTTTTCTAGTTGTTCCTGAAATATATTCTTAGCTTGCCTATCATTAAGTAGAACCCTTAGAGGCTTCCCTGCAGTGTCTTTCCTACGACCAGTTAGACGCAGACAGATACGTGCTCGCACTAGAGCATGATCTGAATCTAGACATGTGCCCCATAATGAGCGACAGTCTTCAATCGAGCCCCTCCATCGGTGGCTGATAGCGATGTGATCTAATTGGGTCCAACGTTGGGACGAATTCGGGGGTCGCCATGTCAAAAGATGTTTTTCCTTATGCTTAAAGTTAGTATTTGCAAGAAATAGGCGGTTATCTGAGCACAGCTGCAACAGACGGTCGCCATTATCTGTTCTTTTCGCCATGACACCATAAGATCCACCCAGGTGTCTTTCCCTTTCACTTAGTTTACCTACTTGAGCATTAAAGTCACCTGCTACTATTACTAAATCAGAACGCCTAGCTTCTCGGAGAAGGTCAGAAAGTTTCCTGTAGAACTCATCTTTTATATCGTCTGAGCTGCAGTCAGTGGGAGAGTAGGCAGAGACGACGAAGAGGCAACGACGAGTTTCCCTATCTTTCCGGGTCCTTACTGATCCGTTTAGTCGGACAGCGCATAGACGACTGTCTACTGGGATCCAGTCTAAAAGAGCTAGTTCTGCCCTAGGACTTAATGCTATACCTACTCCAGCGAGGCCACGGGAAGCAGCGTCAGGGCTTCCAGATACACGAAGCGTGTATCGAGATGAAACTTTATTTTGATTAGGTGAGGTCAAATGAATGACACTACTCGGATCTTGTATGCGCGTTTCGGAGACGCAGCACACATCGATGGTGTAAGATTCTAGAGTCCTAGCTAAGGAAGCCTGTTGTCCTATTTGGCACAATGTTCGGACATTAAAAGTTCCTATATGTAGTTTAGAGCGTGGTTTCAGGAGACCAGAAATAACGTTCTGTGTACTCGAATCGTTTGCCCTAGCGGTGCGAGGTGATAAAAGGACGTGGGAAGGGTTAGTCGTGGAGATAACAGAGTTATTAGGAGGTGTAGGAAGGATTTGAAAGTGACCAACTTGGTCTTGTGTGCAGCTAAGGGTATGAGGGCTAGTATCACTTCCCGGCTGCCCACACCGTGGAAGGGTATTTCTTGAGGGACCTGAAAAAGAAGTTGGATTAGTGTTGGTCTTAACGACCTGGGTGCGTGACCGCAGTGCCCAAGGGACATCTGCTTGAGGCCGGTCACGCACGGCCTTTTTGTGGGGGATTTTTGACGTGTTAGCTCCGTTCTTCAAAAGTCCTTACCGCCGGAGACGGAAATCCGTGGGATAAGGCGAGGTGTGCATTTTTAGGGTCGACCTTTTCTAACCCCACCCCTCCTTGTGGGAAGGCAGCATCGCTGTCATGCTGGTTGTCTGAAGGAAACACCTTACTGCTTTCACACCTCTGTACAGTCAGCAGTACGACTTCGCCTTCGGACCTTGGGATTGCTGCTTTTAGTCTCACCGCTCTTCAATCGACCTGTCTGGCATGGTAGGACCTTGAGGAACGATTGTTCCAGCCAGCATAGCTCGATTGGATCATCACGATAGGCAAGCCCGACCACCACGTCAAGGTAGCAGCAACGGTCGGGATTTAACTTCTGTATGGTGAAGTTGTAGACACCTCTGTTATTTTTTCTGAATCATTCTTGAACTTATATGGCTAGCAATTTTGATTTTTCTGGATGTATCCGTCCGATCGTTGCTGCTACCTTGACGTGTTGGTCGGGTTTGCCTCGTGATGGACCAATCGAGCTAGACTGGCTGGAATAATCGTTCCTTAAATCCTACCATGCCAGACAGTTCGGTTGAAGACCAGTAAAACTAAAAGCAACAAACCCAAGGTCCAAGGGCGAAGTCGTACTGCTGCCTGTACAGAAGCGTGACGGCAGTAAGGTGTTTCCTTCAGACGACCAGCATGATGTCCAGTAGCTATCAGAAAGATTTTTTATCTAGTCACAGATAACTGATATTTGCAGCCACAAAGTGTAGTATTCATGATAGTTATCTAAATTGTCAAGAGGTAGATTCATTTTTACGTTCCTGTTTATCTGTCGACGACATGTATTTTCTGAGTAACCTATTTATTTATAATCAGTCAATACAAATGGTTGAATGGATCATTAATTGCACTCTCTTGCTGATTTTATTAGAAGAAATATACCTGGTTACTAGATAATTTAAAGAATTTAGTAAAAGTATCCACAATGGATTTTGTCAATACATAGGAAAGATGCTACTGTGTGTGATTTGTATTACCCTATATAAAACTGTATCACATATACGCTCTCTATAATCCTCTCTTGTGTTTAATATTTATAGTTTGTCGGTTACTCACTTATGTTATTTGTCAAAAATAAACAATCATATGTTTCAGTTCATGTGGCTATTTCATCGCTAAAAGTGCACTAGTTTTCCCAAACTTTATCATATGACCTTGCAGTTGTACTATCATAACTGATAAAAGATTTATTTTTTGAAACACTTAAGCGTGAAATGTTGTATGTGTAACTGCAGTCATCGTGTGGTAATCAAAGGATTTTCAGTGTAGGGTTGTGGAGATTGTTGTGTTTAGATTGATATCATGGATGGATAAATGCTAGACTGCCGTTGAAAACCTGGAAGCACTTGACGACCGTTTCATCCTAGTATGGAACTGCTCAGCAGTGCGCATCCATGATTACGCACGTGGGACTTGGACCCAGGACCTTCAGTCTCGCGCGCAAACATTTAACTTCTAGGCCACTGAGCCGACATTCAACGGTGTTATTGTCTAACTTCAATCCATAATATTGCGTGCCCGTTCACCATTTTCTTCAGTGAGTAACTGCCGTATCTGTTGTGAGGCAGTTGCTCACTGAAGACAATAGTGGACGAGCACGCAATATCATGGATTGGTTGAAATCAAAGGATTGTTTGGTGTTTTTTAGTTTCTCTTTCCATTTTTGATGTTTTAATTTATAAATCTTGTCAACAATGAGCACCTCGCAACCATGTTTGTAATGTAAATGGATTCAGCTACTTCCTTGCCTAATGAATTTTATTGTTACTGGTCACTATAAATAATCATTTGTTTATTGTATTTTAAAGGTTTGTTTCTAACAACTGTTTAATCTCAAATTGTTTGACCTTTTCAGGTACTGAATTTGTCTATCCAGTGAAATACCAATGTGTTACTCTCTGTTTTGTTTTGTTGAACAATTCTTGTTTGTACATTACTCATTATATTATTTCGCCATTCGATATAGTTTGTTGCTATTTTTGATATATCTACCAATAAAGTTACTGTAATACCCACTCCCCATCTTACTTGCACTTTTGATTCCTATTCAATATTGGCTCAGTAAGACTATGTTTACTGGCTTAATAGTTTTAGGTAATTTGTATTTCTTCTATATACACCATTTTCTTGCATTTTTTAACACTTCATCTCAGTGTAACCTTAAAAACTTCGTAAAATGATGACATTCAAAAATTTTATAAATTCCTGAATCATAGAATGTAGCTTTTTGCTTTTTTCTATATATTGACAAAAAATCCATTTTAATAACTTTGAGGGACCGATTGTTTATTTGTAATGAAATTGACTGTAAGAATTTTAAAAAATATCATATGATAAGTCTGTTACTGGGACGCTTACTACTAACTGCCTAGCTTCTTCCTATAACCCTAGCTTACTTTTACACTTCAACTGGAACAGTAAAGAAGAGGCTCGAAATACGAGTAAAAACTCCAAGGTTATGCGCAGAGTCCATTGTATTCATAAACTTTTATGTGTCTCCAAAAATACTAGATAGAGTCACGACGTAAGTAATTATCCTATCAGAGCGTGATACTTGATCCCTTCATTTTTCTATATATTTCTGAAAAAATTCTATTGTGTCACTGAGCGTTTTCTGAACCTCTAGAGATTTTGAACCCTCTGGTACTATTGTAGTGAACAAAACACGACTGGGGACAATCGAATGTAATTAAGCTAAAATTACAGACTATCTCAGTAAATTCTGACAACCATACAATGAACAGTCAATTTGCAAATTAACAACCAATAGTCTCGATCTTCACTGTTTCTTTTCTGATTCCATTGTTCGTCCATTTTCCTTCCGATTGCGCTTCGTTTCAGTTCTTTCTTCATCGGTCTTCTGCGAAAATACATTCTGTCTGACCAACACCATATACTACTTATATGGATATAAGTAGACCACACTATGTCAGGTCAGTCACAACGTATAATCCCGTACGTATGTGTGTCAGTTCGAGTTGCCATAGCGATGAAATTTTCAGGTCAAAATCTGGAATGATAGAGACCGTGTCACTGGCGATAAGAGAGATTGTGTCGAAGATATAATTCGAGAAGAAAGTATGATATAGTTCAATAAAAACAAATAAGCCACGAGGAGTTTAGAATTTCATAGGAAAGCGAAAAATGGATGTATCTGCTCTATTGCAAACGATTTGGAGTCAGTTCATTCAATCTGTAAGATCTATAAAAGAGGTATAGTCAGTCCAACCCTTTATTTCTTATAAATATTTACTCCCAGTCGTCGACTAACCTGAAGTGTCTCTTTGTAATCTTTTAGAAATCAGAGCACGGTTTCTGCGTTGTGACCGACTTAGTGTCTAACTAGAGTGCAGTTAAGGTTATCGCGTGTATTATGGATCTTAAGTGTACGTAGACTTGTTTGAACACGATTATATATGCTAGTTAAGTCGAAGATGATTTGAGCCCTTCTTAGAACTCTCTTAAATTTATTAGTTGATGAGTGCGTTTATCCTTTAGCATGTAACATCTCTACGATTGAAGTGGTTAGGTTGTAAAAATTTTATGTGAACTGGAGTGCCACCCAGTCGGTGAGGCTGTGAATTCGTTTCTTTCTGAGTAGACGTTTATACCTGTCTTGAATCATAGGTCACAAATTATAACAGAACACTGATGTCATATTCACTTACCATATGTATTACAGACATTCTCTGTCAACAATGTATGTACTTATTAATTTTATTATGAGTCATGTATGCTAGCCTATCAAATCAATAAGTTACATGATCGTTGGCAATCTATTCAGAAACTTGTGACTGATTGTTGGCTGACGACATATTCGGTGTCATGTCAGGGACTGACCACCTCTATCCAACCGATTAGTCGGGAAATAGTATGCATTGCATGAGGAGCTGAGATAACACAACATTTTGAAGACATGTAAGCCGATATTGGCAGTGGCCAATATTTTACTGGCTCCTGACATTGATTACACAATGCTGACTTGGAATTCTTATGAGATGATCGGATACAAAAAGATTTTCTCAACTTATTCTGACTCCAATTTGAAGAAAGCGTACCGAACGTTTGAAATCAATCCAAACAGTTGTCGAAAGTTCAATAAGTGTTCAAAGGTGGATTTAAAATGGTTGTGGACGGAATAGAAGAAGCTTTCGCTTAACAGGCTTCCGTGTCTAGTAGCAGTAGATCACCAATACCTCCAGACAGGAACCTAGGTATATTAACGATAATAGAGGGGAAAAAAGAAATCTGTGTATCATAATCAGATGTTATTTTTAGTCCTTAAGAATAGGTCATGTTTCCTCTTAAAAAACTCCTGGGAAGTCGCTTGGACTAGCTCAGTTGGCAGCAAATTCCAGCATTTGACTACTCTTAAGGAGTAGAAGTTGTGTCTAGAGTCTGTTCTGTTATGCTGAGTCTCTCGTTTCTGAGTGTTTCCCCTTAGGTTAGTATTGTGACTAAGCTGAAGTCGATGTTTAAAGGGACGACCAGAAGTGTTAAGGATACTGTAAGTCTTAAGAAGGTCACTTCTAAGACGCCTGTACTCTAACGGGTAAAGGTCAAGTGATTGGAGGCGCTCTTCGTAAGGTTTGGATTTGAGTCCCCGAGCTGATTTCGTGGCTCACCGCTCCAGAGTGTTTTTATCCTTTTGAAAGGGGGAAATACTATGTTTCTGTACTATAAATGGGGACAAAAAGCTGTTGAAGATTATGTAGAAAGTTCTGCCGTCAAACTGGTCAAAAATGAGCTTCACTGTTACCAGTACAATGTTTGCTTGAAAGGTGTTTTTGTCACAGTTAGCGTACGACTTCAAGTCATAGGCTACCAACATTCCTACATTTTTTTCGACTTGATAAACTTCTAGAGAGAAGTTTCCTAGTCTGCAACATGTCGCAGATGGACTCCTTTTCACTTTGATGTGCTAAAGTCAGTCCGTTGCCGCCTGCCCAACACTGAAGTCAAGTCACATTCTCATGAAGTGCTAGTATATCCTTATGGTTACGTACCTCTCTCTAAAGTTTCACATCATCAGCAAAATGCAATAAGTCAGACAGAACTTTTTGTGGATGATTTCGATTAGAGTGTGCGCGTGTCTCTACTTTTACTTGCCAGTTATTCAGCAATCCGAACCTAGTTGGAACTAGAGTTTGGATCTTCCAAATTGTACAAACTAATGATTCTTTTGTACTTGATTGCCCGCTGAATTCGGATTCCAAATATAATATGTTCATTTGTGTTCATCTAGTTCCACTTGCTGTAAATTGTACTTTATCGGGAATCCTTAGTAAATACAGTAATTTGAATACTTCCAACCATCATAAATAATTTGTTTACTCATAATCTTTATCACTGCAATATAGTTGTTGGTCTAACAGTTAATTTTCAATCATACATTCCTCAGCAGTGCTCTACAAACAAAAGACAAAACGTGCGACATATTAGGATGAAATTTAGCATGAATACAACTTTCTGGTTAACAACAGTCGCAGATGTCTTGACACAAGATAAAAAGGGACAGTAAAATCGTATTGTGCTTTTAAAGCCGCCCGTCGTTTCATTTCAATTACATCCAACAGTTTAGTATGCAGCAGTGAGTTGTTTGGTTGGTTATCGGATTCCATGGATTTGAAGTGTTCTTGTATTTGAGTAGTCACTCGTTTGAATTTTGACTGATGAGGATGACCAGATCTAAATCGACATAAAATTCTCCTAAATGATGGACAACAATTGTGTCAGACTACTAGTAGTTGGGGTATAAGCTATAAAACAACCCAAGCATTACAAAAGTTGATGTGGGACGTCGAAAACGCTTTTCATCGCTAAGAAATAACGACTTTCGAACTACCGTTTCAGGGATACGTTGGAAATCACTCCGTGGTGTTACTGTGGACATTTTCGAAGTTTCACAACAGGTCAAAGTTGAAGTGCATTATTTCTATTACTCAAATTTGTGATCAGTTTTATATATGAATCATGACTTCAATGTTGATCTTATATTCAGAGTAACAATGAAGTCTATGAATGACACAAAGCCTCAGATGAATTCGATTGTTTTTCGACTCTCCATAGCCACAATAAACGTGGGTTATTGATAAAAATTCTCACGCTGACAAGCAGCTGTTTTATAAATGGTGTTCGGCCGTATACGTGTGGGCTTTGGCTTCAGTCAAATGCACAGCATTCAATTAAACGAGGTACAGATTTAATGAGTTCCGAGAATAAATGACTTGCCCAGAGTTTATGTCTTTCAGTACTCAAATGGGGAATGAGGACACACTTGATATTAAGTTCACTACAGGAAAACTGTAATCAGTATTTCTTTTAATGCATCCACACCGTTATAGCTGAAATTTGATATGTATACACTTAATTACACAGTATGAACTTCATTTAAGGAATTAAAATACATTTGTACAGTGATTTGTGTTTCGCACGAAATTCAGTTTGGAAGTTCTAATCATTTTAAGGAGATGACACTGTTTAGTGTTATTGAAGGTCCTGGGGTCAATATCAGTAAAGCTTCAAATACGAAACTAGTCTTTTTACATAAATTAGAAGAGTGTGGTTTACACTACTAAATTCTGAGTTGCGAGATATTAGCGAAGGACATAAACGTGTCGCAGTGTTAATAATCATTTTAAACAAGAACGGGCAATTTTCCAAAAGTGGTTAGAAAATATTAATCTTGTTACTTCGATGTTTACACGTACAGTCCATTTAACCGTAGTGTAGAGTGAATCAGATGTCTGATCAGGAGATACTATGGAATCATGTGCTATATCAATTGACCTCTCCGGCTGGAAAAGATCATTATTTTTAGGGAACTAGATGTATTTTCAAGAACGTTAACGAAAATGTAGTAAGCTAATCTTCAGTAATGAGATATATAACTTCTAGTTTCTTGTGCTGAGCTTAGTACCTAGATTTCTTCTAAATTACATGAGATAATTAACACTTGACCTATTTGAATGTCATTTAAAGTGGAATACTGTTCAAAAGATGACAAGTCATCTTTTAAAACAGTCCTATTGACTTAAATTCCATATGTTAGGGTTAAGAAAACACATGGAATAAATACGTTATGTCGCAGTAATTTTGGGACACATAAAAAAGTTACCACGTAAGGTAAGTTGATATACGATTGACTGAAACTTAATGTGGAGTCCTGGAAACATACTGTTGACTACAAAAATATTGGATTTCATAACTACACTGTAAGACCCAAGTTGGCAAGAGATAAAACTGATATAAACATTTATATCCCTTGACATTGCCGGTCTACTAATATGTATTGCTGCAAGTATGAAGAAGCAGCCAATATTCCACGAAACGTTTATTATACATAATGTTTATCACGATGCGTTAAGTCAAAAAACGTTATCATGATTTATCGCTGCAGTGTAATCACCTGTTGCTTTGAAACAAAAGCAATTGAATGCATCAAGACTCTGAATTATCCTGTTTGTATGCAACTTTTTACAACAAGAGTAATCTGTAGTAGGACGTCGTTTACGAAGTTGATTGTCATTAAACCTATAGAAAAAAGTGTATTTTACGGGAAAAACATATTTTCTACTAACATGTTGAAGATCCTTGTATTATGTCTGTAAACCTTCTAAAGGTCTTTTTGGTGGTTTACCGACCTCCAAGTGTCC